TTAAGCAACATAAAGTTGAGGCAGCCCACAGCCCAAGAACCCAGGTGCCCATTTGGCCAGTTTTGTTAAGCAACATAATGTCTGATGGAGTTTGGATGTGTTGTCCCCTCCAAAACTCATGTGGACATTTGATCTCCAATGTGGCACTGTTGGAAACTGATGGAGTCATGGGGGCGGATCCCTCATAAATGGATTAATGCTCTCCCTGGGAGAGGAGGGGTAGTGAGTGAGATCTTGCCCTGTTAGTTCCCACGAGAGCTGATTGTTTAAAGGACGCTGGCACCTCCTCTCTCTCTTGCCTTTCTCTCTCTCTTGCTTCTTCTCGCCATGTGATCTGCTTGTACCCACCGGCTGCCTGCCACTTTTCCGCCATGAGTAGAAGCAGCCTGAGGCCCGTGCCAGATGCAGCTGTCCCAGAATCTTAAACCAAATAAACCTGTTCTTTATAAATTACCCAGTCTCAGGTACTTCTGTTATAGCAACACAAAACACACTAAAACAGTCAGGGAAGGGCTGCCTGAGCCACACACAACCCTCCTGGGCAGGCCTCCTGTTGCTTCTCTGCCAATGCATACCTCTGAGACTGGTCCCAGGAAGACCCATGGCCAAACTCTCCTAGACACAGTTGAGGGAAGAGAACCTGGCTCCTGCTGACTTTTGTTCTTTCTCTTGCGGATTTAAAAGTTAACCTCTAGATTCAAAGAAGTAAAGGCCAAAATTTTACCAATTTTTAACACTGATTATGAATCTTTGTCTTAGTTATACTGATTGTGATTTAATAGCTTATTAAAGTAGATGGGCCCAATCCATTGACTGTGCTTCCAAAACAACCCCTGAAATGATTATAAAAATCTTGCAGTCTTCCCCAGAAAGCCAAAACAAACACCCTGCCCTTCGTACTTAATACTCTGGCTTCACTTCCACTGTCAGGGTGAGTGAAGGGTTCATCAGTGAAAGTTTTGAAAAGGACATGGAGGAGAAGCTGAAAGGGAGTCTTTTCTGACATCTCAACTGGTCTTGCTGGCAGGTCCAGCTGGTATGTCCAGAGAGCAAAGCCAGCATGCTGTCACACACACACGGCTGCGATGGATGAATGCAGAACTCTAGCCAGAGCAGATGACTGTGGGTAAACGTTAATTAATATTAAATGACACCAGATGATCATGAGTAACTGATAAGGGTTGGAGTCAATAAGTTACCTCCTTTGTCATTTTTTTCAACTCTTGTTCAGGGATTCTACTACATGTTTTCATAGGTTTATTTTCCTTAACGTCTTCATAGACAGTAAAATGTTTCTGGTGGAACAGGAGAGATCACTACATCACACAGTGATCCCAGCTCATATTTGGGCAGATCTGGCCACAGGCCTCTAGCTCCTCTCCCATCTCATCCCCAATGTCTTCTGTCACCTCCATGGGCTGCCTAGGTTGATTACTATACATCCCTCCTGCCTCCACAGTCACAGGTTCAAATATCCACTCTATCTAAAGGACTCTCTCCTCTCCAGCCTCAGGCTCCTAAAATTCCAGTCCAAAAAGTACAGCCACCTGCGCAATATCTCACTATCAGAGTAACCTCACTTGCAAAATCGAACTTTTCATCTTCCCTCAGAAACGGGCTCCAATTTTCCCATGTTTATTCTTTCAGAAGCTCAGGCACCTTGGACTCCTCTCAACCCCTCCTCCATCTACCCGCAACTCCATCAGTCAGCAAGTTTGGCCAATTTTTGCCTTGCCTGGTACTTCAACTGCACCTTCCCAGTCATGCCCATCACCAGCTGCCAGGCCTCACCCTTCTGACCTCAGAGACAGCAAGAGCTGGCTCACAGGTCTCCCTGCCTTTGGTCCCTCCCCATTGGTAATATCACACAGGCAGGATTCCACACTAGGGCTGACTCCAAAACTGCTCCCTCCTCTCTTCAAAAAAAACCTAGTCCTCCAATGCCTATCATTCAAAGTCCAAACTCCCTAACCTCTTAATTAAGGCTGTTGTAAATCCAACCTCACCAGATTTTCGCCTCCATTCGGATGGGTGACATCCGTCCCTATTAAATGTGGTATGTTACTGCTTTGGTTTCATATATCTTGCCCACCCAGAATGACCTCCTCCTACTTCCATGCTTTTCCTACCTCTTTAACTACTTCAAGCTATACCTCCTAAATTCCTAAAGCAATTGCTCACAAGTTATTTAGCAATTAAGTACTATTATTATGACATTTTGTTTATTATTGTCATGAATTTAAATTCATAGTAGGAAGCCCTCAAACATTGCTGGTGGGAACATAAAATGGTACAGTCACTTTGGAAAACAGGTTGGCAGTTTCTTAAAAAGCTAAATATAAAATTACCTAGACTCCTAGGTATCTCCTAAAAGAAATGCAAACATGCAACCACACACAGACTTGCACACTAATGTTCAGAGCAGCATTATTCCTAACAGTCAAAATGTGGAAACTTAAATCATCATCTGATGAATGCATAGACAAAATGTGGAATATCCATACAATGGAATACTACCCAGCAATAAATAGAAACTACTAACATATGGGCCGGCCCGTGGCTCACTCGGTAGAGCGCGGTGCTGAAAACACCAAGGCCATGGGTTCGGATCCCATATAGGGATGGCCGGTTCGCTCACTGGGTGAGCGTGGTGCTGACAGCACCAAGTCAAGGGTTAAGATCCCCTTACCGGTCATCTTTAAAAAAAAAAAAAAGAAACTACTAACATATGCCATGACATGGATAAACCTTAAAAACATTATGCTAAGTGAAAAGACACAAGATATCATATATGCTTCCATTTATATGAAATGTCCAGAAAAAGCAAATTTATAGAGACAAAAAGTAGATTAGTGGTTGCCTGGAACTGACAGTGGGAGCAGGGATCTTTTGGGGAGATAAAAATGTTGTAAAGGGCCAGCCCGTGGCTCACTCGGGAGAGTGCGGTGCTGATAACACCAAGGCCCCGGGTTCAGATCCCATATACAGATTGCCGGTTCGCTCACTGGCTGAGCGTGGTGCTGACAACACCAAGTCAAGGGTTAAGATCCCCTTACCGGTCATCTTTTAAAAAAAAAAAAAAAATGTAAAATTGATGTATGGTGCTGGTGCCACCACTTGGTACACTTGATATGGGTTAATTTTATGGGACATCTTTTCTCCCTCCCGAGCCCACTGGTTTATGTGTCACCAGAAATACTACCACTCTACCTTTAACAATGGAACTAAACATTCTCCAACCTTCATTGTTTAATTTGTCTGACCCTCCATCTTCTGCCTATCATCCTACAAGGTAGGATTTCACCTCTGGGCCCCCTTGTGACTTAGTAGGGCCACGTCTAGTTCTAAACAACAAATTGTGAAAGTGACGTGACACTTCCAAACCAGAACAGATGTCTGTGCAAGACCCACAGCTTTCCCTCTCCCACAACTAGCAATGGTCCAGTTGGGGGCTGCTCTGTCAGCCTAGATGAGGACAACATAGAGCAGATCCCTCAGCTAATCTGCAATGGACAGGAGCATGAGGGAGAAATAAACTTTGCTCTAGGCTTGTGAGCTTTGGGGTTATTGTTACAGCATAACCTAGCCTAGCCTGACAAAGTCATGGGGCTCTCAGACTGTGAAATTCTATATTCTAAATCTCTCACCCCAAAACTTAAGGCCTTTTATTCCCCTGGCTTCTGTGAGAAGACACTCTCTCTGTTCTGTCAGCCTCTCCATTTCTCCATTCCCCTACCTAACTTGTTAAAATGCTGTTATCCAAGGTTTTGTCCTCAGCTCATGACTCTTCACTGTACATGCTCTCCAGAGAGATCCACTCATGATTCATCCACCTGGCTGCTCCACATCATAAATCCAGCACATCCAGGGCCGGCCCGGTGGCGCACTGCTACAGTGCGCCGCTTGGGAGCATGGCGGCGCTCCCGCCGAGGGTTCGGATCCCACATACAGACCGGTTCCTGCTCACTGGCTGAGCGAGGTGTGGGAGCCACACCGAGGGTTGCGATCCCGTTGCCGGTCCTGGTCCGGTACAGGCGCGACACAGAGGGTTGCGATCCGTTGCCGGACACAGAAAAAGACAAAAAAAAAAAAAGGAAAAATCCAGCACATCCAAAAGCAAATGCACCAGCAGCCCCCACCGGATGTGTTTTCTCCTACATTCCCCACCTCAGTTAACTGAACCTAAATCCACTTGTCACCCAGGCTAGGAACTGACAGCCATGCTAGACCCTTCCCTCTCACCCAATCGTCATTCAACCAGTCAGTCCCGGCAAATTTACCTCCCTTAAGTGTTTGTGGTTGTTACTGTCTAGGGAGGGAGGTTATTTTTGCCTGTTTAATGTTTATTACAGTAGATGCTAAGAAAACAATTATTTCAGGCTCAGGGAAAGTCTTACTTTGGTGTCAGGCATGGCAATGATGCAGAGAAGAGGACAAATAGTTCAGTCCACACCAAGAAATGAGAAAGCTATAATCTCTGAATACAGAATTATGAAACTACGCCAATAGCAACCTGCATGTTTGTCTCATCTCTTCAGCCCCATGTTTAAGTAAAGGCTTCAAAGCACTGCCACAGCTTTCCTTCTTTACTAAATCCCCTTTGCATTACTCATACTATTATTCAAGTTCTTAAGACAGGGCAAATCTCACCAAGTATTTATGGCTGGTTCTTTTCTTCTCCTTATAACTAAATCCGTAAGAAAGTATCTCCTAATTCATCTCTACTTCCTCTAACCCACTTGATTTTCTAAAATTGAAAAAAGCGATTCTAGTGTACTAAAACCAGAGCCAAAGTTTCTCAACTTGTTAAAATACTATTAATTCCCCAATCAAGGGAGACCACACAAATGTTATCCGCACTTTACAGTAAAGAACTGAGTGGCTGGTGTCTTTTGGTTAGTGTAACCATTACACAACAGTATGTGCTTATCACCCAGTAGTAGTATTCAGCCTCAAAAAATAGTATTTATTCTCCACATAGAAGAGTTCTCACAGCAGCACACTGTTACAAAAAGACCAAAGAGAAATTTTTTATTGCTTTACAAGCCAGCAACAAACACACTGAATAATTATAACATGACACTTTTTTTTTTTTTTTTTTTTAGCAGCTGGCCTATACAGGGATCCGAACCTGTCATCTTGGTGTTATAAGGCTACACTCTAACCAACTAAGCTAACTGGCCAGCTCCTTAAACGTGACACTTCTAATTCTCAAACGGAATTATAAGACCAGAATGTCCTCTTCAACGTAGATTGCATTTGTTAAAACTGAAATCCTCAAATTCTGGCAAAAACTTTAATATTCTCAAGCAGAATCGACACTTAAAGAGGCAAAGAAATTTACTGTCAAACTTAACCACCTATGTCTGATCACGTAATTGAACAGCCTTTTATGCTCAATCCAGGAAGTGCCGTTACATTTTAAGTGACTATCCTAGGCACTTTTAAGAACTTAACACTTTTTTCTTTCTACAAATTTTCCACAGGAAGAACTGTCAAGAAAATTGTTCTAAAACCCAACAAGGCACAGCAACTCACAACTCATTTCTACTTCTTTCCTCATGATGGAAAATGTAGTCAATCTTTAATTTGGACTGATAAAATTGTGTAGGCAATGCCCAATATCCCAACATACAAACAGGAAGTTCAAATTAGTATTAGAAAGGGTGATATTTCTAAATACCTCATATTATTCCAAAAACACTAGCACCTTCCTTCCTTTCAGTGGGCGCCAAATAATCATGGATTACGTCACCATTTTAATCATTTCAACTTAACAGCAAGAGTTCCCTAGCAAGTGATCTTAGCACTATCTGAAAATGGGGAAAAGGGTGTCAACAAAATTCACATGACTTGCCCCAAAATGTAAATTTAAAACCTGACTATTGGGATAGCTATCAACAACCTGAAATTTCTTACTCTAAAATATATTACCAAATCAAACTGATTTTTTTTAATCCAAGGTTTTCTTTCTTCCGCACAGAGCACAGCATTTTTCTCTCAGAACATACTAGTGAGGGTATTCCTAATTAACTCACGTGGGTGGCTTTATACTCCCAGACCAAACGGTCTAGCTAGCTGCAAGGAAAAAGGTTTCATAGTTTAGGAATATATCACATGAAGTGTTAGTTGAAGATATGTATGAAGATGATTTTTAATCACTGCCAACAGCAGAATGTTAAGGCAACATCAGAAAGCAGAGGTGTTTTAAAACACTAAGCCCTACTCCCCGCCTGGTAGAACCAAATAATAAGATGTACTAAATCCCTTAATACGAAAATTTTCCAAAATAATCTGTTGAACTTGACTTTGCAATTTAATCTTTTATATACTGATGGCAGTGAGAGAGAACACAGGGCTATAATTCCCTTGGCAATAAAATTCAACATCTAATTTACTCACAAGGCTTAAAATAAGGAAAAATATAAGTTTTCCTTGCTTGGCGACCATCCTTTCTAATGGTCTGTTTTTATACTGTATCCAGGCTACACCTGTTTATGGATGGCTAAGTTGGATACAGAAAACATCGTGTCTTCCCCATGTGGAATAATTACAAACAAGACAATAAACTTCTCAATCAGTACATCAACAGTCAGGGTAAGCAAGAAAAGGACTTTACCAAGTGACTGACATTTACACTTTTTGACAGAACTGAAATACACTGAATTACAGAGCAAATTCACTGAAACAAAAAAGAAAATTCTGTCCATGTAAAGGCTATTTTATTTTACCCCCCAAAAAGTGTTTCAATTCTGATACTCTCACCACACAACGGGTTAAGAAAATAAAGCGCAGTGTTTAGCAACTGGGCATCCTAACTACCATAAGAGGCACTCTGTGCTCACCCTCCCTGACAACCACTGAGGTCAACAAGCCAGGAGCAAGGAGAGCCTCCTATTTTTCAACACAAGCAGCTGCTGTCTCCTTATTGAAGCCCCGGATGGAGAGATCATAGACCACCTCCTCCACTTTCTTCACGTCGTACTTCAAGCCGTCATAGCGCTTCCTGAGGGAGTCGTTTTTCAGGTTGAGAAGGCGGAATCCAGAATCCAGCTCATTGATAAAGGTGGAGATGTGGAGGGGCCGAGAGTAGTCTCCAGCAGTCACACTGTTGACAGACAGCCTTGACTGCACAAGGAAAGAGAAACAGGGACATATTACAACGTGGCTCTTCCTTACCCCATCTTCCTCCAAATCACGACAGAAGAACCTCAGGCCTAGATAGCTACACTCATGTTCTATATCAGGGTACATGTAAACACAAATAAAAGAGGAGCTTCTCTGAAAAGAACTCAATGAAAATAAGACAATTCTTCCAAATAAAGGTTTAACGTAACTAACATCTAAAATTTCTCTAATTTCTGAAACTGGCTACTGTGCAATCAAGAGTATTGAGTTATGCAATTGTCAACATTACAGCTCATCTGCTAACATACAGAATAAAGAAATGACAGAGTAATCACAGCAGTTCTATCATCTCTTTGAATCTAGGCCAAATAATCTCATATCTAGAGCCCACCTACTGAACTGCAACTCCAGTCACCTAAAATAAACAAGACAAAGACACAGGATAAGATGATAAAAGGAAGTCAATGCAGTGTCGTCTTGAAGGACAGATAAGATTTATTTCAAGACCTAACTCAAGACTCCCCTTCGCCATAAAATCCTCCCCATTCTTCAAGACTTCCCTAAACTACCCCTTATTAATGCATTCCAAACAAATATGATCTTAAAGACATCTCACACTTAACAATATTGACGAGGTGCTTCAAGTTTACTGGTCAGATGTCTCCAACAAGTCTGAGATAAGAGGTACAGCCTGCCAGTGGGCCCCAGTACCCATATTCCCCATCTTCCTCAGTAAGGACTCTTCAAATTTTCATTGCACACACACCTAACCTCATAGACTCTATTTCTGCCTCCCCTACAGATGTGGCACTGGAATGTTAAATAGAAGTTGTGTGTACAACTTCAAAGAAATGTCCTTAAAGTGAGTGGGGTATGACCTATCCCTGTTTCCTTTTACTACTGGCTGGAATGAAGAGGTGAATGACCAAAGCTGGACAACAGTTCTGAAACATAAAGGAGAAGCTACAAGCTAGAAGGACCCAGGGCCTTCAATGACTCCTTTCCTTTGGAGGAAGGATAGGCAAATATTCCCTTAAAGAGGGAGATAGTAAATATTTTCACCTCTGCAGGCTGTACAGTCTCTTTCACAACTACTCAGCTCTGATACTGACAGCTTTTTTCTTCTTCAGAGTTGGTTTTATAGGACAATTTCCCAAGAGAGAGATTACAGGAACAAAGGAGAAGGATTACTTATATAGTTATACAGGTGAATTGTTCTCCAAAACAATTATATAAATTAGCACAGTTATCAGGAATATGTCTTGCCACTACTCTAAAAGGGAAAGGTATTATCATCTTTTAAAAACCCACACATTTTAAGTATGCACAGCAACCTCACTGTCCAGTTAAGTCATTTCTTTGATGACTAGCAAACTAACACATACAGTGCACAGTCAATAACTACCTGGTGACCGCTAAATGGCTTAGAAAAGAATTAAGACTTCCTGATTTTCAGTACTCATTTTAAAAACTGACAGTGAAGCAGGAAGATCAGAAAAGCAATAAGCAAATTACTGAGCTTCTTACCAGTTCACTAGCAAGAATTAGAACTCCTGAGAGATAATCTTCTACATCCAGATGAAATCCTTTCTCCCGATCTGGCTCAACTAAAAAACATCAAAATAAAGATAAAATCATGATGAGAATGCAATTTAAGCCTAAGAATATAAATATATATATATATATATAATTTCTCTCAAAGTAAGTGAAGAAACGATGAATTTTTTTTTTTTTTTAAAGATGACCGGTAAGGGGATCTTAACTCTTGACTTTGTGTTGTCAGCACCACGCTCACCCAGTGAGCAAACCGGCCATTCCTATATAGGGATCTGAACCCATGGCCTTGGTGTTATCAGCATCACACTCTCCCAAGTGAGCCACAGGCTGGCCCAAGGATGAATATTTTAAAAACTGGCCTCTTAATGTATTCGTTCCCTTAGCAATTAGGCCTCACTGTGGATTTTTCGAGCTCTTAAGCAAAATTCAATTTTTCCTTCCACTCTTCTCTCAAAAAATAATACCACCAAGAATGGTACCTAGTTATATCAGAGAATATTCTCGTTAGAAGACACCAGCTGGGCCGGCCCGGTGGCGCACTGCTACAGTGCGCCGCTTGGGAAGCGCAGCGGCGCTCCCGCCGAGGGTTCGGATCCCACATACAGACCGGCCACTCACTGGCTGAGCAACACCGAGGGTTGCGATCCCGTTGCCGGTCCCGGTCCGGTACGGGCGCAACACTGAGGGTTGCGATCCGTTGCCGGTCACAAAAAAGAGACAAAAAGGAAGGAAAAAAAAAGAAGACACCAGCTAAGGAATTTAAAGGAGAAGTCATGATATCTGCAACTGACTTTCAGTGGTTCACACAGACATACAGACATACACACATACACACAAACACATACACACAGTGAGGGGAATAATCAGATGTGGCAAAATGTAAACAAGTGGTGAATCTAAGTGGGGTGTAAACAGATGTTCACTGTACTAATCTTTCAACTTTTCTATAGGCTTGAAATTTTTAAAAATTAAAATTTAAAAACCTTACAGCAAGGGTCAGCAAACTTTTTCTTTAAATGTTAAAAAGAATGGCCGGCCTGTGGCTCACTTGGGAGAGTGTGGTGCTGATAACACCAAGGCCATGGGTTCGGATCCCTATATAGGGATGGCCGGTTTGCTCATTTGGGAGAGGGTGGTGCTGACAACACCAAGTCAAAGGTTAAGATCCCCTTACCGGTCATCTTTAAAAAAATAAACAAACAAACAAATAAATAAATAAATGCTAAAAAGAAACACTCAAATCCAAATAAGCAAGCCACTGCATATTTTCAGTTTTTGTGTTTCCGAGTAACTGATTTTCCATTTAGTTTTCATTTGTTTTAATAAATAGAAAGTACAAGCAACAGTCCCTCCCACCAAAAATTAAGCTACCATGCCTGATTCCATGGATCCCACTAATAGAGACACTTACTGCCAAGAATTTCTGTAACTGCTTCTCGAGTCACTAGTGTTTCTGTTTCCAAATACACAACAAAAGCTGCCAAGAAGACCAAGCGCTGCAACACAAACCTCCAGTGCTCATGAAATCTGCAAAAAAGTAAGCACATTTAGGTTGCGAGGTTAGGGACCTTCAGAAAGGTTTAGCACAGTCATGTTCAAACAGTTTAGAAATAAAATCTCATGTGAAACCCAACATATAAAACATGTAAGAGCAATATGATATTTAAATATATTTAGATGGGTGGCATATAAATTTTACAAGTTCTAATTTATATATAAGATTTACTTATCGTAAAGTTAACCAATGAGAAGCATAACCCAATTTTGATGAGCACAGAAATTTACAACTGAAGATTATGGATGACAAGGGCAACTGGACATTAGAACTTTAATCAGTAAGAACAATGACACCTCTATGAGAAAAAGAAAAATTTGCAACTGAAGATTGATGACAACTGCAGTATCAGCTTCAATATCTAACTTATTGCTACATTTTGATTTGAATGTAGGGCATCACATAAATCCTGATTCACAAAATTACCATTTACAATCACTAAGTAGATGGACTTAAAACCTCAGGGTACAGAGCTAGAAGCCTGAAAAAGGAATAGGAAATTTTACAACCCCTAGATATTTTATGCTATGCCTCCTGATTTTCAGATGTGAAAATAAATTCAAAAAAATCTCTTAACAGAATATAGGTCAAACAAAACCTTCTGAGGGACAAATCCAGCCATAGGGCAGCCTGTGTGTGACCTCCAGAGTACATGGTCTCTAAAGACCCTATCAGTTCTACTGTCCTAATTCCCTGTGTTTCAGTTATTACCTTACAGCAAGGGTCAGCAAACTTTTTTTTTTTTTTTTTTTTTTTTTTTTTTTTTTTTTTTTTTTTTTTTTTTTTTTTTTTTTTTTTTTTTTTTTTTTTTTTTTGTCCTTTTTTGAGATCGGCCGCACCGCGCTCAGCCAGTGAGCGCTGTGAGCGCACCGGTCATCCCTATATAGGATCCGAACCCGCGGCGGGAGCGTTGCAGCGCTCCCAGCGCCACACTCTCCCAAGTGTGCCACGGGCTCAGCCCAGCAAACTTTTTCTGTAAAGGGCCAGGTAGTAAATATTTTAGGTTTTGTAGGCCACTTTCACTCTCTACCACATACTCTTATTTGGGTGTTTTTCTTTTTTTAACAACCCTTTAAAATATAAAAGCAATTCTTAGCTCTCAGAAGCAGCAGACCACCAGTAGCTTATCAACCCCTGCCTTAAAGAGTCTTCTTGTAAGGTTATACTACCCACTCCCCATAACATACACATCCTAACTATTTATTGACCATATATGTGTCTTAAAAGAACATCTTTTCAGTAAGAAGACAAAAGTAAGTAGAAATTCTTGATTCTTTTTTACCATAGTTCATCAATACTCAGATGTAATTTTTCCCAATTTAACACCTATGAAATCAGGTTACATTTTACAATCTAAGTTTCATAATTATGACTGGCTATGTTGTTCTTTCCCTGATACATAAAATAATGGTGTATCTTAAAATTAACAGTGTTTTAGATTTAATGAGATATGACATACATTAGCCAAATATGCCACTTGACAGGGAAACTCAAGCTATGAGGTAAAACTCAAATCCATATATATGAATATATTACCACCTAATCCCACAACCTTAATGGCATAACTATACTTCATCCAATTTCACAAGAAACTTCAATATAGCAAAGATATTCTTGATTTTGAACTTCATACAACACATTTTCTCTTTAATTGCTTTTTCATTGAAAAAGTAATGTTACAGGGCCAGCCCATGGCTCACTTGGGAGAGTGTGGTACTGATAACACCAAGGCCACGGGTTCAGATCCCTATGTACGGATGTCTAGTTAGCTCACTTGGAAGAGTGTGGTGCTGACAGCACCAAGTCAAGGGTTAAGATCCCCTTACCAGTCATCTTAAAAAAAAAAAAAAGAAAAAGTAATGTTACTTAAGAAAATTTTGAAATTAAAAAGGACAAAAAAATTAAATCACCAATTTTGTCACCACCATTTCTCAGCTTGATTCTTTTTCTTTTTGTTGCTTCTTCTATGTGGATGGACTTTTTACCTAGCTGTAAGCCATCATTCAGTACATATAATTTTTCTCCTGCTTTTTTTACTTAACCTTATAAAATAATGCTACTTTTGTTACAAACCTGTAATACTGTTCAGCAGGAAACTTGGTCTTCAGAGATGTTAGATGTGTTTTTACTGTACCAAAATGTTCTCGAGCTTTCAAGCACCTCTTTGGAACTGGTCACAAAAGATAACCAAATGTAATAAGGAAAAAGTTATTAAAGTTTAAAGACAGTTCTTGCTTAATAATCTCTATAGTCTATCTGAAAATGTATCAATCTTTTTAAAAATCTCACAACCAAATGTATACACCTCTTGCTTTTAACCTGGCACTCAATATATCTCTAGTTTCTCTACAGATTAACCATACTGAAAAATAAACAAACAAAAACTGCTGAAAGGGAGTATGTTAGGAAACACATTGGTAATTGGTAAGCTGTCATAAATAACCGAACCTGGCACTCAATATATCTCTAGTTTCTCTACAGATTAACCATACTGAAAAATAAACAAAAACTGCTGAAAGGGAGTATGTTAGGAAACACATTGGTAATTGGTAAGCTGTCATAAATAACCACATCCTTAAAGGGTTGTGCACCAGCTGCTATTCCATGAATAATTTCTTTTGTTTGGTTGGTTGGTTTTGGGGGGTTCTTTGTTGTTGTTGTTTTTTGGTGGCTGGCCAGTATAGGGGATCTGAACCCTTGACCTTGGTGTTGTAACACTGTGCTCTAAGTAAGTAAGGTAACCAGCCATTCTATCAGCTGCTATTCCTATGCAGTCCTCAGAGGATGCCTAAAATTGGACTGCTTCTAGCTCCCATATTTGGTCAAAAAGAGCCTTTACCATTTATTTTCAACCAGGCTGACCAACTCCATTTATCACTGAGAAAAATGACTTGCCCCTAACACTTGTTAGTTACATTATTATATCATTCTCTATTTGAAAATATATTTTGGCTCATTTAGCTGTGCAGCTGCATCTTACAATGAAGGTTCTGTGCCTAAAACTTGATGTATTTAAATTTCATTCAAGAGGATGGCTGTAAACACATTAATTTGGTAATATTTTATACTGGCACCTCATATCTACGAATGTATATAAAAAGATATTCAATAACCTAAAGCTTGAATTCAAACACACACACACAACAGGGCCAAATAAAAGTTGCTAGAGACATAATAAAGATATTAAACTGTAATTATCATCAGTAGAAGTCCATAACAATAGAAAACCTCCCTATTTAAACCACACCATGTGGAAGAGGAAAATGGAAGATCAACCAAAACACAGAGAATACTGTGTAAACGTATAAAATGACCAAATCACCTACTCCTCCAATTTTTACTCACCATAAAGAATGATGAACATGTTTCACAATAAAATGATACAGACTTGATAGGTCTTCTGGGTGGAAATTAACTCTCTAAATAAGAGAATTATAAATTGGATAAAAACTTTCAAAATCAAAACATAGAACTTACTGTCCTGAAACCCAGCACCCTGATGGACCCCTTGCAGTAGAGTTAAAATCTCTCGAGCTGTTTGTTCTAAACTCTGTACAACTTTTCGGATTTCCTAGAGAGAATTAAAAATCAAAATCAGACAAACTCAACATAATCGTTATCATAAACTTATACCAAACACACTAGATAGCATATTTGACCTGCCAAACCTTCACATACATTCAAAACACTAATGATCTTCACAAGGGCTGAAGTTGTATAAAAAATAACCAGGTTTGAATCCTGACTTTTCCCCTTATTTCCTCTGTGAGATCTTCAGGAAGTCACTAAAAAGCCTTAAGATTCCTCAAGTAACCTTCAAAGGATAACAGCCAGCCACCCACCCACCCCAAATATCCAACTAGGACACTATAAAACAGATGACATTATAGGACTGTAATTTGTAAAATGAAGATTTAAGGGTTGGGAATTTTTCACTAATTCATTTTACAAATATTCACTTAGCACATTTAGGTGCCAGACACTGTAAATACTGGGGAACCAAGCAGATAGTCCCTTCCCTCTGGCAGTTCAGCGTATGAGAGAGACAGACATTTAAAAAAATAATCACACAAGTTTTTTAAAGTTAATGTGCCACTAGAAAACATAACAGGGAACACATCATTAAGACTGTGATGTCAAGGAGCTAAATTTGAGGTAACCGGGAAAAGAAAAGAAAAGAAAAGAAGCAAATTACATGAAAACCCAACACTGCATCCAAGAACTCTGAGGCAGGAAACTATTTGGGGCACTAGAGCAACGAAAGGAGGTAAACTAAACTTAACATACAAAAGGAAATAGTGTAAAATGAGATTTGAGAAAGAGACTTTGTGGCCACAGTAGAGTCTGGATTTTTATCTTATGTGGGATGAAAAGCCATAGGTGAGTTTTAAACAGGAGAAGATGATATGTGCTTTTAAAACACCGACAACAAATACATGAAATGTGCATTGGCTGAGACCCAGGCGCTAACCGAATCTTCTATGAAAACAAGTGCTTGAAAAGAGAGAAAACTGACACTCAAATGAAGCAGGTGATGCTGAGAAACCGAGAGCCGAACACAGGGAATCAGGACAAAATAGTAAAATCTGGGGTGGAGGCGGGGGTTCCCTAACCTGAATCCAGAGGGGAAGCAACCCACCCTCAGAGGTGTCCCCATCGCCCGAGATTGAGCGAAGAAGGCATGGGCGATGTGGCCCAACTGGGCAAGGAAAAGGAAAGGGATGGGAAGGGAGGGGGCTCGCCTCTCGGATGTCCTGCTCTGCAGCCAAAAAGCCCTGCAGCTCCACGAAGATCTCGCTCACAGACATGACGCCGGCTTCACAACAAAAAGCCAGTGAGGCAACGTCGGCCAGAGAAGTGTGCTCCGAAGGCTACTAGCACAGTCGGTCTCAACGCCCGCCGTCGCCGCCGTCGCTGCCGCCGCCGTCGCCGCCGCCTCCACCCGGCCCTAAGCCGCGGCCGTCGCTGGGGTCCTCTGAGGCCCGCGGCGCTCCGGAGGCCGGGCTGTCCGCTGCGCTGCCTGAGGCGCGCCCGCCGCGTCCGGAGCCCAGGCGTGCTTCCGGAGGGCAGAAGAGA